GGGGGCAATATGCTGACTCTGTAAACCGCTTAGAGAGGGCTGAAAGCCCTATGAAGCGGTATATAAGTCTAACTGCTATTGCTATTGCTAAGTTACAGCATTCTGAGTGGTTTACAAACATCAGCATATTGGTCCCAACAATCTGGGCTCTCATTTTACCGACTTTAGAAGGATACAAGGCTAAATCAACCTTGAGCTGATCAGGATTGAATGCAGGGTTATGGGCAGAGTTAGCCTGCAATACTGCATTCTAACCACTGTGCTACTACAGGTCCTCTATCAACTCCACACATGATAAGCACAGTGATGACTTATGACTAAAGGTGAACCCAGAAAATTGACAACATCATCACATTCAAGCGTTTAATATTTAAATCAGCATTTTTCTGGTTTGGAATTTAGGGAGTTGCATTCCTAATACACTTGGGAACACCAAAAATTAAAAGAAAAGTAAGTTTAGGAAAGAACTTACACAATCCACAAATAATTCTTCGGTAATGTTATCTTCCAACAGGTGTTCAACAACTTGCAATGCTTTCCGCTCACACTCAATTTTTTTCCTAATAGCAGCTTCAAGTGCTGCTTTCCTAGAAATGAATAAGGATTTAACAATATAGTGTATATAATATTTTGACAACTCATATCAATTTGCTTAAAAACGTTTGTTTATTTCAATAATGTATTTCATTGGAATGTTATATTCATTACATAAAACCATCCTTCTGTTAGGTTAATTTTGAAACTTGGTTTGAATTTTCTGTCATGCTTTTGAAAAATGGCTAGCAGCTGAGCCTTGCCAGTTAGAATATATTTAATCTCCCCAAAACGTATTCACAAACATCATAATAGGATCCAACTATCTTCCTTGTAATAAGCAAACTGGTTAAATAAATGCAAACGATAATCCTATAATCACAAACTTTAGAGCAAGTCTCCCACAGAACTTACAGGGAGCTGTCTTTGAATAAATAACCCCCCCAAAGACCCACAAATGTATTTGTGTCCTCTGGTAATAAACCATTCTCTCTAAAGTCCTTATCTTACATATAAATAATGCTCAAGTTACAATTGCAATGGAATCTGCCCATTATTGTCATATAACAATTTGGTCATGTAACTGACTCACTTTGACCTTTTTTGAGGTTGTTATTAAGCAAATGCAGCAGTCGTAAGTTCGAATGCTGCAGTCATTAAGCGATGTGTGATTTATTTAGTTGTTCACTCATCCATTATTCACAATGATGCAATTTTGCTAAAAACTGTAAGTTTTCAGCAAAATTGTAGTAAATCATAGTCTTGTGGCCCTAGGGCACTACAAATTGCTGTGCTGCTAAACACCTGAAGTGTGGTTGTGTGACCATGGAGGGTGTGTGTGTGTGTGATCAGAATTTCAGATCCAGGTCACAAGTCCTCTTTTTCAGATAGGTTATAAGTTTGAGGGGTCTCTAAGTGACTGATTGTAAGCTGAGGACTACAGTACTATAAGTATCATGAGCAATAGGGATAGTTAAGACAAGTAAGTCTTGTTATCATGCTTGGAGTTATGATACTTCATATATTATCTCTACAATACTATGATGTAGGTCAAAGAGAGAGGCAATCTGCAGTCCCTAGACCACTGATAGTGAACCTTTTAGACATCGAGTGCCCAGTAGTGGGTTGCCAATTTTTTCCCTACTGGTTCAGGTGCGTGCGCAGAAGTGTCCGGGCGGGTGGGCGGAGCCTCCCGCTGCCACTACTACTGGTTCACCCAATCCAGGCCGTGTGTGTGTGCATGCCCAAACTAAAAGGTATGTGTGTACATGCGTGGGCATGTGCGAATGTGTGCATATGCAAATGTGCATGTGCACATGGATAGTCATGCGCACATGCGCAGCAGAGCCCCGAAAACCAGCTGACTGCCGGAAGGTGGGGCATCTCAACACCAGCAGCGCAGCAAGAGGTAAGATCTTTTTTTTTGTGAGCTTCTGTTTCATCGTTTGCATAGAAACAGAAGCTCACGAAAGAAACACATGGAGATCAGACCTGGGACAATGGTCCACGTGCCAGCAGAAAGGGCTCTGCGGGCCACTATTTTCGCCATCACGGCCCCAGACACTAACTGCAGAAAATTGAATTTTCTTTCACTTTTAAGATTGGAAACAACTCAAAACGGAAGTGTTAAACATTTGTCATAGAACACACAACACATTCAAAACTCAAATTAAAAACCTGCCTTGTTGACAAATGCATGTGGCCCTCAGATATAAAAGGTTGTCCACTATGATATTCAAGATGAAAGTATCCAGGTTCAATTCCTCAACCAACTAGGGAACTCTGAACCACAGAATCACAGCTCTTTGAATCCCAAGCATCTTCTCTGCTCCAACTCCAAATACCTGCATAGGACACCTTTAGGACCCCTCTGGGCTCTTTTATATAACTGTTGCAAGGATAACATGAGAGGAGATCCCTGGAACTCTTTTAGAAGTTCGGACATATCTATAAGCAAATAATATTTAGAAACGATACCTTTCAGCAGCATCTTCATCTTTTAAAGGTGGTTTGTTTCCTAATATAAAGGACAACAAAAAGTTAAGAACAAATCGCAGAAGCCAGGAGATGGTGAGTTCTAGTCCCACTTTTGGTATAAAAAATGGCGGGTGACTGCGGGCCTGTCAAATGTCTCTCAGCCCAGTCCACCTTGCAGGGTTGTTGTTCTAGGGGCGGGGAACCATGGCCTCTTCTATGGCTTGTGGCAATGGGACATGGTGGCTCACTGGCTAAGACGCTCAGCTTGTCTATCAGAAAGGTCGGCAGTTCGGTGGCTCGAATCCCTAGCGCCGCGTAACTTGAGTGAGCTCCCGTTACTTGTCCCAGCTTCTGCCAACCTAGCAGTTCGAAAGCGTGTAGAAATGCAAGTAGAAAAATAGGAACCACCTTTGGTGGGAAGGTAACAGTGTTCTGTGCGCCTTCGAGGTGGCGCAGTGTTTAGAGTGCAGCACTGCAGGCTACTTCAGCTGACTGCAGTTCAGCAGTTCGGCTGTTCAAATCTCATCGGCTCAAGGTTGACTCAGCCTTCCCTCCTTCTGAGGTGGGTTCGGACATATCTACTTGCATTTCT